GAGTGAGAGTGAGAGGAGAGAGAGAGAGAGAGAGAGAGAGAGCTTTTTTGGAAAAAGATTCTTTTTTTCTTATGAGAATTTTGCACATTTCTTATTCCCTTTCTTAAGTTCTATGAGTTTGTTGGATCTACATGAATAGTGTTATTTTATTTAGTGATATTATACAATTTTTGTTTGGACATAATTAACCATGAATTAAGTAATAATATGAACTAGAGAAACATGCATCAAGCTTGACTCAAAGGAGGAGGGAAAATTGAGACATACAAATAGATGGGTGCGGGGAAAATAAAAATAAATGAAATACAAAAGTCAACAACAACTAGATCCTAACATGTGTGATGAAACTGTATCTTGGCTTGGTAATGGATAAAGACCAGGTCCCTCGAGCTTCTTAGCCTACAACTGTGCGAGCATTGACAATTCAAACTGTTTACACGAACTTGTGATAAGGTCTTTGTTCTTAATATTAAGTTCTGCTATCCTTTCTTAATATTAAGTTCTGCTATCCTTTGTTATTTCTTGCACTTAAGAGTGCATTCTTTGTTGACTTGATAATCTCATCCGTTTGCCATGCCAAATGGAGTTGGAGTTTAGCTCTCCATGAATTCAGATTAAAGTTGCAAAACTTGTGCTCTGAAATGCATATCTTGATAGATGTACAAGAATGTTTGTATATATTGATATGACATCATTTTTAGATTTTACATTTATCTCCAGGACTTCTTTTTTCCTTCATTTCTATGGTAGTCTTGAGTATCCCTTTTTTGGGGAGATCCTCAGCAGTCTAGAACATTCTTGAGAAGTTTGTTGGCTCGGATCTCTAGGAGAGAAGGGAAGGCCATAGAGAAAGATCGAAAGACAATACGTTGGGAGTAAGAGAAAGGGAAGAGAGGGCACTCCCACAGAGGCAAAAGCGGCATGTTGGAGGCCAAAAGATTGAACTAGGGTTTTTGTTTTTGTAGTCATAGACAATAATTAAACGACAACTTTATCCTCAAAATTTACAAAAGACTAACCAATCCTAAAGAATGACAAAAACATTGCTAAGAAAGAGAAAGTCCCACATGGGTCCTTAGAACTACAAATGCAAAACTATACATTCTCTAAACTCCCCCTCAAGTTGGTGGCATGTATGTCATGCATGGTTGCAGTCTAGGCCCACTGGCTTGGTAAAAATATTGGCTTGTTGATTTCCAGTCCTAGTATATGGAGTGGATATGGTTTTAGTTGCCACTTTTTCCCTGGTAAAATGACAATCAATCTCGCTATGCTTTGTTCTCTCATGGAAGATAGGATTCGTGGCAATAGGAATAATAGTTTGGTTGTCAAAGTGCATGGGTATGGGCAATGTAATGTACAATCCCACATCACTTAGGAGGGCTTGTAGCCATAAAAGCTCACGCATTGATTCTGTGGCTCAAAGCTCTACTTCTGCACTGGACTGCGCGATCACACTCTGCTTTCTGCTTCTCCAAGTAACCAAAATTCCTCCCATCATAGTGCAATAGCCAGTAGTCAATTTTTCAATCAACTGGGTAACCGATCCAATATGCATCTGTCTAGAATATTGATGAGGATATGTCTTGAGAGAGGATATGCTGTCCATATCATTCCCAGTCATCACAATCGCATCAAAACAAACAAGGAGAAGGGCTGTACCTCGCAGTCTCCTCTTTACAAAGAGGGAATAGTCAGAACAGCTCCTGTGCAACCTAATAGTAGTCATGGCATACTGAATCAATTGAACTACATCCGTGGTGATTACTTAAGGTCATAAAGAGCTTTTTGTAGCAAACAAACCTTCTGGCAGGCCTTAGGAGAGCCTGGCAAAGGCGGGCATCTCATATATACTAACTCTTCGAAGTCTCTATGAAGCAAAGTGTTCTAGACATCTATTTGAAAGAGAGACCACTCGATATAGGCAGCAACAGAAAGAATAACTCAAACGACTCCCATATTGGCAACTGGTGCTAACATTTCTTAGAATCAGTTCCATACTTCTAGTGAGGCCTTGGGCTACAAGTCAGGATTGTATCGTTCATTGTTTCTATCAGGCTTAAACTTCAGTTTGAAGACTCGTCAGCTCCTATTGCCTTCTTACTAGGGGGAGATCCACTGTGTCACAATTACACTTTTTTCTTAAGAGCTCCGATTTCTTCCTCCCTTACTCTTCTCCAATTTGGGTGTTTGATGGCTTGCTCAAAAGTTGTAGGCCCTAAGACAGGGCAAATAGAAGAAAGGAAAGACTGGTACAAGAAGTATAAGAAACAAAAGGTTCAATAGGGTGAGACACTCTTTTTTATTTCTGTATGGCAATTGGAAGATCCAAGTTATACGGAGAAGAGGTAAATGGTGAAGGAAGTTCAGTCCCATGGGACTCATGAGGAGAGGTAGTCATGTGATCATCAGTGGCTATGGCGTCCTCAGTAATGGATTCCCTTGGTCTTCATGAATAGGTCAATTTGGGCCTTTCTCTGATCTCATGTTTGTTACACTTACATATGGAAGAGGGCACTGTCTTTAGTTCTTCTAAGATGGGTAAATCTAGACTATGATGCTCCCTCGGACTCTCAACAAGAAGTTTGGGATTCTCTTGAAAATAACTAATGCTTTCAAGAAAGTCACTTGCCTCGGCACATAGTATTTCTTCTCTGGGTCATAGCACTAATACCTTTTTTGAGAAAGAGAGTAGCCCAGGAAAACACACCACTGAGTGTGCATCCAACTTAGCTGTTTATCAAGGTGCACAAAACAGGTACATCCAAAGAAACTTGTATGCGGCATATTGGGCGCTTTCTCCAGTTAAATTTTCAAGGGGACTATCGTGGCCAAGAATCGGTCTGGCAATCCATTTGTAAGATAAGCTGATATGGCAAGAGCAAAACACCAGAAAGCCTTAGGAACACGCATGTAAATCATCAAACGTCATAATTTTGAGGATATCAATTTTTCTCTCCATGACACCAATTTGATGTTGGAGGGCATGAAGTGTGATGAATTGTCCCATTTTCTTGCAAGTATCAGGTCATGTTTTTTGTTTGCATACTCTGTTCCATTATCAGTTCTAAAGATTTTGACTTTTGCATTGAACTGAGTAATGATCATTTATGGAAAACCTTAAAAATTTCAAGGAAATCTGCTTTGGTTTTCATACAATAGACCCAAGTTGTATGAGAACAATCATCAATGATGCAAAATATTATTGCACCAAGGATATATTTCACAGGTGCAGGGCCTAACACATCAGAAGGAATAAGAGAGAAGAATTCTGAGCAAGGCACTTTGTTATTAATGTAGGGCAAACGACAATTTTTTGAAGGCTGACAGGCTTCATGTAGGGAAATAATATGGTCTGAAAGAGAAATAGAAGGCAAGACATTCTTAAGGGAATGGCTTGAGGGATGCCCTAAACAAGCATGCCAAATATCTCCCTCTTTATTAACTTAAGTTGTTGGTGCCTTGCCAAAGATGTAATGCCATTTTTCTCATACCCCTTCCTGATTTCTTCCCAATCCTCGAACTCCGACAGACACTCTGACGGACACAACAAGATGGAGAAATTTGCATTACAGTTCAGATTTTCAGTAATGGTGCCCATCAGTAGTAAATTATGTGGGAAAGAAGGAACATGGAAGGTTCGTGAAAGAATTAGTAGGAGTGAGGTTAGCAGATCCCACACCCTCCATGAGTGCAAGAGACCCATTGGCACGGCTAACTGCCTTGGAAATAGCAGGTTTTTGTTGAGGGCAAGTAAAGGTGCATATTGGTCATATGCCATGTTGCTCTAGAGTCGACGATCCAATTTGAAGATGCAGCACAAGGGACTTATTATTAACCATCTCTAGAGATGTAGCTGCATTGGTAGAGGGTATAGGGAATTCCTTCAGATGAAGGAGTGAATTGATCTGAGAAGTTTGTCACTTGGTGGGCTGTCATCTTGCCTTGACTAGTTTGTGTTGCTGCTGGCCACCCATGCAAGGCTCAACACCTATCCTTTCCACAGCCCATTTGATTGCAGTTTCACATTTAGGTGTTGGGGCTGTATCGCTGTTACATTCATGTCCTTTCTTCCATGCTACTTGAAGATCAGCAACAAACACCGTAATAGGGACCTTTAAAACAGTTCATTTTACTTGTGTTTTTCTTCTCTTTGAAGAAGGGAAAATGCAACATTGATGGATGATAGTTTTTCCGCGGATAATACCATGAGTACAAACAATTGCATAATTATCATTAAGGCTAGCTAGGAGTTCTAAAACATGCCTCTTCTGAACTTGTTTTTGTCATTCCAACAGGCATGGTGAGTGCTCATAATGTTTGAGTTCCTCGGACAAAAATAATCCATCTTTAATGGTTTCGTCTATAGAATTGAAAGTCCATGCCATAATAAGAGAATTCGATGCCATCTATTTTTCATACTTAGGGTTAGAAGGATAAGGGCACAATGACGACCAATCTATGTGTCCAATCTTGAATTTTCCCTTAAGTATCATTGTGTGACTTGGCCCATGCAAAATAGTTGCTGCCATTTGCATTTAACTTGACCATAGTAATTTGCATGGCCATTGGATCCTGAGGTTGAATTCCTTTGATCTGCCATTTGAGGGATGCAATACTTCCTAAGAAAATATGACAGACCAAGCTCACCCAAAGATGATATTGCAGGCTTGTGTAATCCCTAAACACTTAAAAAACAATCTTGGTTGTATCGGGCAAAAGATGTTGTTAAGTGTTATAATTGCAAACATTGCTCTAATACCATCAAAAGTTTGTTGTCTTGGATCTCTAAGACCAATGAAAGCAAGAAAGATCGAGAGAAAGCACATGAGTATGAGAAAGGGATAGAAAGAAAGCCTGCTGAGCGAGAGCCAAAGGAGGCATGTTGGGGGCCAAAAGATTAGCCTGGGATTTTAATTTCATGTATATATACACATAATAAGGCTTGGATGATAATGATGTCTCTATACACATGATAAGTTACAAAAGACAACTTTGTCCTACATAATTTACAAAAGGGTTAATCAATCCTAAAGAATGACAAAAGCAGTACTAAAGAAAGAGAAAATCCAACATGGATCCTTAGAACTACATATACAAAAATATACAGTGCACAATTCTAAGCAGATAATGATTTGACAGGAGCTAGTTATGAATTTTTACGTGGATCTTGGTGTGTAATACTACAGTGACATGCAACTATCCTTGATAGTGTGCAACATAATGAACTTGTCTGTTATTGAAAAAAGTAATGGTTTCTATAAATAGATCTGATAGATATTTGTTCTCGTAACAATCGAAAGTTGGATATTGTTTTGTGGTTCATTATCAATTGAGATATACTACCATGTCTGTTATTGAAAAAAGTAATGGTTTCTATAAATAGATCTGATAGATATTTGTTCTCGTAAAAATCCAAAGTTGAATATTGTTTTATGGTTCATTATCAATTGAGATATACTACCACAATGGATATGCTATCTTAGTATAAATTTTCAGTTCGTTGTGCTCTGAGTTATTGAAAGCTAGTACCCTGCTCTTCCATTTTCCTTTCCAGGTCTTATTTTTGATGTATCATTACTTCGCCGCAACAGAGATATATAATGCCATCCGAGTGTTAATTGCCGCATATGTCTGGATGACTGGCTTTGGGAACTTCTCCTACTATTATATTCGGAAAGACTTCAGTCTCACTCGTTTTGCTCAGGTCTTTTAATAATTACAGCCATTAAACCGCTAGTGAAAGAAAATCTTGTCCTCTTTTTCTTCTATGCGAAACTGATTTTAATAATTTATTTTGGTTTGCAGATGATGTGGCGTCTGAATTTTCTTGTAACATTTTGTTGCATTGTGCTGAATAATGACTATATGTTGTATTACATTTGTCCTATGCACACTCTGTTCACTCTTATGGTATATGGTGCTCTTGGTATTTTTAACAAATACAATGAGATTGGAACCATGATACCTGTGAAGATTATTACATGTTTTCTGGTAGTCATATTGATTTGGGAAGTGCCTGGAGTTTTCGACTATATCTGGAGCCCTTTTTCATTCTTAGTAGGTCAGTAGCACGCTTGAGTTTCCTATGCATTTGGCTGTTTAGCTCTTAACTTTTATGTGTTAAAAAAAGGTGCTCTTCTGTGGTTGTAGGGTACACTGATCCTGATCCTTCGAAAATGAAATATTCGCGTTTGCATGAGTGGAGATTCAGATCTGGTCTTGATCGCTATATTTGGATCATTGGAATGATATATGCTTACTATCACCCAACTGTATGCTTTTTAAAGAGTTTATCCATCGTCATTCGTTTGAGTACCTTCATAATACTGACCAATTGGAATCTTTAACTTGATGGAAAGCTTGCTTTCTCTGGATGCACTTTTTTCTTAAGCCTGGAGCATGTTCTATTGTAGGTTGAAAGGTGGCTTGAAAAACTGGAGGAGACTGAGGTCAAGAGGAGGGTGACAATTAAGACATGTGTGGTGATAGTTTCTTTGGTGGTGAGTGGCTCTTTCTTATCATGATTGATACTATTCTGTTTGATGTGTGGATTAATCTCCATTTAGCTCTATTAGATGATCCAACCTTTGTTCTCTCCTCTAGGTTGGTTACTCCTGGTATGAACATATATACAAGCTGGATAAGATTACATACAATAAGTTGCATCCCTACACTTCATGGATCCCAATAACGTATGTGATTTTGCTCTTTTGGTTATAAAAATCAATTTTCACATAATATAACATTGATTTCACTAAAATTTTCAATTTCTCAGAAGTATGTATTCTGTGGTTCAGTGTGTATATTTGTCTGAGAAATTTCACTCATCAGCTCCGAAGTTTCTCGCTAACTCTCTTTGCGTAAGTGGCTTCCACCATTTCCTCCATCTATGATAATTGTATAGTTCCCATCTCTATTTGTCATACACATGGTGGGTCTGATTGTTGGCTTCCTGCTAAATATTGAGGTGACTTTCTATTGTTTCTAGGTGGCTTGGCAAGATTACTCTCGAGACATATATCTCACAGATCCACATCTGGCTAAGGTATGTAGAGATGCCCAATCAATTTTTATTTGAAAGTTCTGATCTCTATCAAGTCTATTCTTTCTTCAAAACAATTCAATTCAAGTCAAAGATAACAAGGCTGGATCGCTAGTCATTTGGGAAGTCTAATTGAATTTTGGCATATAGGCAACTTTTTATGTTTTCATTAACAACCAGCAGGTCATGTGCTTGCATAACCCCTTTTATTTACATTTATAAATTGGAGAGAGCAAGGGTTGTATCTTTTTCTTTTTTTGGTGTGTGGCTTTTGGGGTGTCCCACCCCGTTGGGGGGGGGGGGGGGGTTTGGCTGCTCTTGGTTGGCATGGTAGCCTCGCTAATTAGTCTATAGTGATTTGTTATCATTTCAGCAATGCTGTTGGTGCATACTGTTTTATTCATGTGATTTTGATTGCCATGATTTGGCTATCATAAACCTCTGAAATTCTTGATGTCTTTTCATTTTTCTCAATGAATGTGCAGATCTGGCATGCCTAATGGACAGCCTAAGTGGCTTCTTTCCTTCATCCCAGATTACCCATTACTCAACTTCATGCTAACAACTGCGATATATGTGCTAGTGAGTAATTCTTTCAGTTGTGGCTTATATTTCTATGCTTGTATGCTGGCATAAGTGCCTGCTAACTTTTCTGTCTGCAGATATCGCACCGCCTCTTCGATCTGACAAATTCATTAAAGGGGGTTTTTCTACCCAGCAAAGACAACAAACAGCTGTTGTACAATTTGTGGGCTGCATTTACAATATTCCTATGCTTGTATTCTGTGTCATCTATTCTTCTTCGGATCCCTCAGATGTTGACTGTGGTAACGCTCAATTCCTTAATAATTCATTAAGCATTCTCAAAATGGAATAGTAGAGATAGCGGCTGACTTGTGATCTTGTGCACAGACCTGACAGATACTAAAACAGCTTGATGTGAACACTGCTTTGATTGAAAACATGGATTCATGAATAAGAAGAGTTCAAGGTTTTCGGGTAGGGATCTGACTGGTAAATCTATGTTCCCTGTTCTGCAAAGACATAATACTGTCATCGGTTACTACCAACGTGCTGAAGTGTACATTCGTTCATTGAAAGTCCCTTTTAGATGTTTGATGCTAAGAAGACCAAAGATCTGCACGTCTTGGTAACCAGAGTTGCTGAAGAGAATTTGGTTGTCATATTCTTCAATCCTTGTAATGGCCATATGCATAAGGCTTATTTTCCCCCCTTTTTTTTTTTTTTTTTTTTTTTCTTGCTTGGATTTGTACTGAGCCATTATTTGTTTTTTCTAATGATAATTTTGATATGCATGGGCCTCATTTCAGCACTTTTCTTTTCCTTAAGTTTCTCATCCATGGTGGATTACAACATGCGGAAGTAATGATCTCTTAACTTTTTTAATATTTCTTTTTTTTATTGGAAAACGTTTTCAGTGAGGTTAGAAAACCTTCAAAATCCATTGAAAAATGTCATTTTGAGGTTAGAAAACCATCTAGTTGATCATCTCGACATCGAAATAAATGGATATGAAAAAAAAGAGGATGTCAAGTCAACAAATTATCTAAGACCATTCATTTTTATAGATCTACTTGATTTTGAACCATTTTTAGAGTTTAAAATTTTATAAATGGAAATAAAAATAGATTTTGAAGCCTTCACAAAAATTTGTGACAACAAAGTTATATCTTATGACAAAATTTGGAGATGCATCTTAATTTGATTGTTGAAGGTTGCAACCTTATGCAAACTACACCCATTTTTTTTTGGAATCTTAGATAAGGCTTTTCATTACTCCAGTTTCCTGCATATGTGTGTGGTCGGATCTTTCTATTCATGTATATTGGTAAAAGGAAAGCTTTATGCTTCCCCTATTGCATAAAACTTATATGCTTCCCCCACTATCCAACGATCCATTCTAAATGGATGGTTGATATGGCCTTAATCACAATGTCACGTCTCTACACTATTTTATTATTTTTATAAACTATTTTAATACCAAAATTTGGGTCTACTCTTTTTTTAAAGTCGCACCTATAAAAAATAAAAATAAAAAAATTTCAATAAAATAAAATGACCAAATAACCCCTAAAAGCTTCAAGGGGTATTTTGGTTATTATATTTTATCGAAAAATTGTTTTTAATATTTTTTTAAAATGAGTTCCATTGAGATGATAGAACATACTAAATTTTATATTTATATAACATATAAAAAAACTAAAAATAAAATACTATGAGGGTTAGTGACTCACTTATCTAATTTGGATGGCTGGATGGGGGGAAGCATATATCCTCTATGCAGTAGGGGAAGTATAAAAACCTTTCTCATTAGTTGCATGTATTGTAGTACCCTTTAGAGCGTAGAGGAAAAATGTGTGAGAGAGAGAGGTGAGGGAAATGGAGGACAGAGGTAGAGAGAGAAAATGGTGGAGAGCATAGAGAAAGAGAGAGAATAGTGGATAACATAGAGATAGAGGGGAGAGAGGGAAGGTACTCGGTGTCAGTCTCGGTACTGTTAGGCTACCTGTCATATGAAAAAATAGTATCTCATTTATTAACCCCACTTTGAATGGGTTCAAATCTGAGCCATTCATTGAGCCCCATATCATCTTGGCCATTGGGCACACTCCTTACACCAATGCTTCATTTATGATAGTAACTAACTTTTCATGCATTGGATGGGATGCATATTTTGGTCTTGTATTCATTTATTTTATTCTATTTTCCAAATTTTCCCAAATAATAAGTTCCTTTTATTTATCACAATTTGTTATGTATTTCCTCATATCTTTTTAATCTGTTATATTAGATGGTTTGCTCAGTTGTTATTGTTAAATTTATGTTGATTCACTAGACACCTAGCATGCCTTATCTTGGGTTTATTTTATTTTATTTTTCATAGCTTCCGATTAGTAATGCATTTTCTTTTTTAATTTGGTTTGTCAAGGGGTGTGTCCACGTGATGTCATTACAACAGCTTTTCCTGTTCATATAAATATTATTCTACATAGATCGCATAGTTCACAAGTTTTTGCCTTTACTTTTACTAAAGAACAATTGGGTTGTTTTGAAGCCCTTTCCAATATAATTGCACTCCCATCTTTTTTTTTCCATAAATTTTAGTGCTTGTTTGGCTACAATATCCCCGATTATCTATATTCCTATAGAAATGAGGATGTTTTATTCTATTGCACTGATCAAACTAGGGAGTAGTTACTTTTCATGCCTTAAAAATAAAAGAAAATATCGAATGTGAGAAGAAGAAGAGGATAATGGTGATGGTCTTATGCCACAACGTTATGTATTGGAACTTCAATTCTGGCGGCTTGTACTCATAAAATAAAAGGCATGGACATAGGTCATTGGGTACCAATTACCACTATGAAATAATTGATAAAAGTGAGGAGAATTGTCAGCACTAGATTCATATAAGTATGACATCGTACTCCCTAAGGGATATCCTATGCTTTCTATAGCATTTGACAAACAATTTATTATGGAAGGCTTTGTTATATTATATTCTATTTAAAGAACTTAGATTTATGAACTCGCAATGTAACCTCAAGGCAAAATTTCATTACAATAAATAAATAAATAAATATATATATATATATATATAGATAGGCCGCCTACCTGGTACATATGATGATTATGTGCTGTAAAAGAGGGCAGGTGAGTTTTCTAAAAAATCAAATAACATCACAAAATAAAAAGAACCAACGACGATCTTTGAGGATAAGGAGTAATAGTTGGAGCTAATTCAGACGGAATCAAAGGGCTATGAGATGGACAATGAGATAAAGTTGCCTACCAATGAACAAGGCCCCAACGAGTTCAGTCGTTGGCTTAATGTCAAAACCCTCATTGTTGAGGTCTTTTTACTACTGCCCAAAAGCCGCTTTGCGAGTGCTTTTGGGGAAAGCATTAGACAATTCACTCTGAGTATATGGAAGTCAGCTAGGAGGATTTCCTCTAAGTGTATTACAGTTTTTCACCGAGGAGGTGGATCAAAGTGATTACAGTGAATAATTGATCTGAAACAAAGCATTTCATCTATATGCATTGTAAAAAGGATCGAATATCACACAACTCGTTCTTCATAGATAGTTCTAGTACAATGGATTGAGGGGGGTGTTGCTACACCGCCAGAGGAGATGCAAAGCGATAGAAGAGTTCGCTCAGCTGTGTAAAATCCTCAAACCTAACATGGCCACCATCGAGCCTATTTTCGTTCTCTTCCTTGCCCAAGAAAGTGGATCAAAGAAAGGTAGCTTGCTTCTCTCCTAGACTGATGGTGGCTTATACAGTGGTTAGCCTTCCTAACAGACCTACTCCTAAGGGATGATTAGCTGCACTGGGACTGAGAGGATGATCAACTAAATTGGGACTGAGACATGGCCCAAACTTCAATAGGAGGCAGCAATGGGAAATTCTCTACAAATGACGAAAGCCTTATGAAGCAATGCCACATGGAGGTAGAAGGCCCATAGGTCATGAACTTCTTTTCCTTGAGAAGAAGCAATGATGGTATCCGAGGAGCAAACATCAACTCTTTGTGCCAGCAACCGTGGTAAGACAAAAAAGATCAAATCAAAGAGCGAACCTCCATCTAATTGCTCGTACACCAGTGTTGGACACCATGGGTGTCATAATAGAGGATCATAAGGAGTTTACATAACTTTTTCACATCTAATCTACCTTTTTTCATTAATTTCTTCCTTTTCATGTTGAGAGTTTGGTGCTATGTCCTTAGGTTGCCCTCTTTTGATTATAAGAACTACGATGATCATTCCACAACGTAGATCCTAAACCTTGATAGATGTCTCGAGAGCTCTCACACCCGCCAAGAGAGGATCTCTAGGATTTATTGGATATGTAAGAAAGAAAGGCAAGAGTGAGGGATGTGGGTTTGTTCCCTACAGGTTTTATAAAAGAGATGGGAATGAATCAATGGAGCATTCTCCAAAAGCAAAAATGAGAGAGAGTTCCTTTTTTTTTTTTTTTACAATATCCTTTTTTAAAGGTTCTCCATCTCCTTTGATGCTTTCTACAAATAGTTATTTAAATAACCACCTGGAACTATTTAATGGGTTGCTTGGCTCCCTGATCAAATAAACCCATAATTTTATTATACCAAACCTTAGTTATGTTAAAACCTGATTATTGAAGCATGATTGTTTGGATAGATTTGAATGATACCCAATATATGCAAATCCCATATTTAGATCATATGTTTAAATAACCTAGGTTTTTTTATTTATTGAACATATTATCACATTACGAACTAATAATAATAATAATAACAACAACAACAACAACAACAACAATAATAATAATAAATAAATAATAATACAACAACAACAATAATATTATTATATTATTACTATTATATTTTCTAATATTATTATCATTTAATATTACAATATTGTATTGTGAATATTATTATTAGTTATTATTATATAAATTTTGATAATAATATCATCATCATTATCCAAACGTTACCTAACTATTTGGAATTGGCTATGTGAATCTTGTTCTACCATTCTTCTTTATCAATGTTACACCCTTAGTAAGATTATAAGTCATCATATATTTCCTCGCTACTTCGATCCATATCTTTTTGGGCATTTCCCTTACACTTTTAGAGCCTTCTGCTTGAAACAAATTATACTTCCTACGGGTTCTATATTAAATCTATCTTGCACATGGTCAGCCCACCTAAGTTTATTTTTCCTCATCTTATTGCCTATAAAAGTCACATCTAGGTTCCCTTGAATGTATTCAATCCAAATCCTACCATTTCTTATCTTGTCACTCATACGTATCAACATCCTCATCTCAGCTGTATTCATCCTTTAGGTATGTTGTTTCTTGATTGCCCAACATTTCGTCCCATAAAAATGATGGCTAGTCTTATAATTGTCCTATAGAACTTCTCTTTTAGTTTTATTGGTATGCATCAATCATATAAGACTCTGGATGTACATGTCTACTTTGCTCACCCAACTCTAATTCTATGATCAACATCTTCTTCAATTTCTCCATTCTCATACACTATTGGCTTTTATTATTACTAAATTTGAAATCTATATATTTTGTCTAAATCTGGCTAATTTTGAAATCTTTAGATTCTAAAGCATCCCGCCAAAGTCCTAACTTTATGTTAATGGCTCTAGTCACATCAATCAAAACTATGTCATCAACAAATAACATACATCACGATACCTTTTGTAGGTGCCTAATAACTCGT